TCCAGTTTCCATATGCTTCTGTCCAGTTTTGAAGATCAAAGACTTTATGATTTATCACAGCTGATTCCTTATTATCCTTCCCAGGGAAAATGAGGACACAATTCCTTTAAGGAACCATCAAATTCCTTGAACTCTTTTCTCCTTTAAGTAAGTTTTAGTATCTACATATTTTTACTCTGCATATGGAAACTTTAGGTCCTATATCAGCTCATGTTCAGGAACTTGAATAAAACTTACAAGGCTTTTGTAAGGCACTTTCTTTCCAATAATACAGCTTAAAGAAGTTGATTTTCCTCTGTTGCCAGCAGTCACTTCCATTAGACATTAAGTCTTCAGGAGGATATTGGACTCGATGACCTCCTGAGGTTCTCTTACAGCTTGAATTAGCCTATGATACTATAAACTAGGACTCTATTTCATCAAAGTCAAGCGTGCCAATGAATAGTCATTTTAAAAATGAGAAACTTTTTGCTTTCCTTTTAGCATTTTTTACTTCTCCACTTAAACTCCTGTGCAACATAAACCAGAAACATGCTACAAAATGGGTGGTCTTTTATAACACGCTAGGCTGAAAATTACACAAACTTGATTCCAATATGACAGGGAAGCAAAAAATAATGCCCTACTCCTTCAACAGTTATGTGGTTTTTTACAACAGAGAATAGTTGTTCCCTGTAGAAATAAAAAAGCACAGTGCTAGCACACCAAGGGTTTAAAGCAATTATGAACAAAAATTTAGTGGTCAGTAATGAAATAACATAGGAAGAATTTTTCTGCACAACACTTCTAAACAATCTGACACCATACTTAAAAAAATTAATTGGTAGGAAGTTTTCAGACACAACTCTTCTTCTGTTAAGCTGTGTAAATTAAGGACTTCACTTTGGCTCCTCACAGACTCCTACTCTTTTTGATGAAACTCAGTTACGCAAGCTTTGGAAACACTATACACCTAGCAACTGCTAAAATCACGTTGGTTTTCTGAAAGGCAACAGCAGCGTGGCATTGTTCCCATGAAGGCTCAAAGGGCCTACGGCTGGAATGAATATGCTTCTTTGGGAAAAAACAAGAAAAAATTTCTACAAAACTTAAAAGCAGAGACAAAATACACTTACAGTGTTGGCAAGTTCTAAGTAGCTTCCTCCAACAGAGTTGCTAAAATTTGAGGCCTGAGCTAGAAGCCTTTTCAGAGCAGCCTGTTGAGTCACATTGCTTCCACCATACTCCAACACCTTTTGTAGCCTACAATGACTCTGGAAGTCCGGACTCTGAAGGTCTCTTGCTCCTGAATCATATTCCCAGCTTTCTCTGGCTCCCGATAAGGCACCTAAAATGCAGAAATGGAAAAACATTCTAGTACGGACTGTGTATAAAGAACACATAGAACATAGAATATCTCAAGTTGGAAGGGACCTGTAAGGAACATTGCATCCAACTCCCTGCTCCTTGTAGAACTAAACCATATGACTAAAAGCGTTGTCCAGATGCTCCTTGAACTCTAATAGGCTCGGTGCTGTGACCACTTCCCTGAGGAGCCTGTCCCAGTGACTGACCACTCTCTCAGTGAGGAACCTTTTTCCAACGTCCCATCTGACTTCCTCCAGTGCAGCTTCATTCCATTTCCTTGTGTCCTGACCCTGGTCACCAGAGACAGGAGACCAGCACCTCCCCCTCCACTGCGCCCCATGAGGAAAGTGCAGACTGCGATGGGGTCACCCCTCAGCCTTCTCTTCTCCAAGCTGAACAAGCCAAGTGACCTCAGCCACTCCTGCTAAGTCCTGCCCTTGAGGCCTTTCACCATCTTGGTCGCTATCCTCTGGACGCAAACCCATAGTTTGATGTCTTTCTTATACAGAGGCATCGCAACCTGCACATGGGACTTGAGGTGGGGCCACACCAGTGCTGTGTAGAGTGGGACAATCACCTCCCTTGACCAGCTTGATATGCTGCACTCGATGCACCCCAGGACACAGTGGGCCCTTTTGGCTGCCAGGGCACACTGCTGACCCATGAATAAGTCTGCTCGTCTTTCCAGAAAGAAAAAAAGCAAATAGCTCCACCACCATTACTCCCCATCTTGCACATGCTAACAATGCCAGAAAGAAAAAGAAGTAATAACATTTTCAATGCACAGATCATTTACTAAATTACAAGATCCAGAAGGAAAAATAAAAGTATTTGCATACATTATTTAGTATAGACTAAACCCAGTGTAATTTACAATAGCTAAGGACTACTGAATGAAAGCATCAGTTACTATGTCAGACTGCAAAGCAGTACTCATCAAAGAACAACAGAGGAAAACCATAATTCACCTCTCTTTGTTTACTGAATACCAACACAATACATCAATCTTCTAGCTGTACAGTTCACCACTTTTTATGTTAGCATGCCTTTCTTACTATCTCAGGATTGCTTGTTTCAGTTCAAGTTTCAGAGACACTCAAATCACAAGGTGTTTCATTACAAATCAGTACAAGAATATGATCATGTAGCTAGTGACAAACAATGAACACTTCAGAGAAAAGTTCTGTATCATGAAGCTGTCGGGTTGCTGTTTCTCAATGTACAATCCTTCCAATTCCCTACAGCTGGAGACAGGCTTAAACCGTAAAAAAAATTTAACAAAATTTTCTTATTTTATCAGTAGTGATTTCATCCCTGGGTGCTTCTGCTTCCCATACAGCTGTCCCACTCCTTTTAAAATCTTATTATGTTTTAGGCTCAACAATTTCCTATGGCAAAACATTCCATGGTAGACACTAGATTGTTTAATAACCCTGGGCAGCACTGTAAAATTTCATATGTAGCATAATGAAGATTAAAACAATTAAGTGACTTGTCCAAGCACACATTCTAAGTTAATAGAGAAGTCAGAACAGAATCCAGAGCTACAGACTAGAGCAAAACTCTTGAATCCACCACACAATCATCAAACTGTAAGTAATTGTCTGTAACACCATCCTATTAGTTTGAAAGCTTTTCCTTTTTATGAGCTAGTTCTCAAATATTCATCAGCATTCTAAGCAAGCGTTTACTAATCAGTGGTTATTACTTATCCAGTATAATGCCAGGGAGAAACAATAAACTATATAATGAACTATTAGAAGAATGCCTCCACCTTGCCAAGAAACTTGAAGCTGTAAAGTGCAAATAGAAAACTAGCCAGAAGGCAAGCAAGACCTAATCTGTAGCTTTAGGTCAACAATCTAACCTGTAAACAATCTAACCCTGTAAAGCAGCTCCCCGTGGCAAACCAACCTAAGAAACCCAGAGGTGGTTTCCCTGCCTTACCATAATGAGAAGATGCTACTCTTTAAACGCCTAGGTAACAAATAACACAAAACAAAGAAAGAATTACATTTTATACCAATATAATTACTGCGATTCATTACCACAAGTAAAGATTCATTCAGTTACCTTTACACGAAGAGCATACACCATTGTACTTAATCTGAGCACACGCTGCAAGCTCTCCAGCACAGTGGAACTAAGACACTGCTACCAGTAATATCTTATGCTGTGTGTCCTGTACTATGCGTAGCGACTGTGCACAGTGTCCGGTACCCCCCGCCCTCTTGTGGCTACAGTGCACTGTACAGCAAAAAAAAAAAAATAAACCCAGCAGCTCACAGAGCTGAAGCAGCAGAAATGTCTTGGGAGCCTGAGGGAGACGGGGGATCAGTTCAGCCATCTCCCAGGCTTGAGAACACCATGGGAAAACAACTCCCACCTGTACAGGCACAGTCACAGAACTAAGAGAGCTGGTCATACAGATACTCTTGTTTTTACAGAGCTAAATACAGCACATACTTCAGAGTACGTGCACTAAATTTCTATTACTCACTGTTCTGCAAAAAAGCTTTCACATTCACTCGATTAACAACAGTAGTTTTTTTGAAGACCTGAGTGGCCTTCATAGGCTGCACCATCTGCTGTTGGATTGGAAGCCCTCACAACGCTCAGCTGGCTCGGAAGTCACCTGTCAGCTGCAGGTGCATCAGGCACTCCAGGAAAGATTGGGTTTTTATGACTGTACTTTTAACCCAACTTCTTCTTAAGAGTTCAAACCTGTACTCCTGATTTAAAACATGCATACGAAAAATGCAAGGAGAGATGACTGTTACACAGGAAGGCACTTCCACTATTTTATTTTGGGCTTAACCCTAAATTTCTAAATTCGCTCACTGTTTTCCCAACAGATTCCAAAACCCTGGCTGTTGAGATGCTGTCCTCCTGGGTAGTGCACCTTTCAAGTCTCAGCTCTGCAGGGAAACTCTGGAGTTGTCAAAACTGAGATTCCAGTTCTAACGACAAATTCCGTAAACAATTAACATACAACTCTTCTATGTTGCTATAATTAATATACAGCTCTTGCTCTTACTGTAGTAATCATAAAGAAGTGATCATTAGGTATGACCACCAAAAGCTGATAGCTGACCTGGTAACTAGGAATCTATAGTTCCTAAATATGTGTTTAAGAATTAGTCTTTACAGAACTACACACATCCCAAAGTAGTTTTCCCTGTTGCTCTACACTTACAATCATTTCTGTATTAAATGAAACAAAACTATTCTCATGAAAATCCCCAGGTAAAAAGCATGCCAGAGAATTCACATTATTACAACTACTAAGCAGAAAAAGAAAAAAATAAAATTAGTTGCACAATCTTTGTACCAGCCAAGTAATACAAGAGTATGTAATTCTTTTCAAATTATATATGTAATGTTTCAATTCTAGAGGAAGACAGTTAAATCAATCCTTTTTGGACTGAGTGGATATATCAAACTTCTCTAAAAGTGCAGTATAGAAGCTTCTGATTCTAAACAAGCTTCTACACAAGTACTCTTTTAATTGCCTTCCTAGCACCACTAGCACTTGCCTCTCTTAGCTTGTAATTAATTCTGGGTGAAATTCATGTTATAGCAAATATTCAGCACCTAATAGGAAGTTTTTGTTTCTAGCCTTTTGTAGAGTAGATGAGTAGAGCACCTGAGCATACATGGATCCATTAGCAGCAGTCAGGTCAATCACAGCAGGGCAACCTAAATCTTGTCCGAAACATTTATTTAAAGATTTTTTTTTTATTTAGTTAGCCCCAGCTCTTACTTATTTCCTTACAATTTACAATTATTTAAACTTTGACATATCACATGTAAGAAAAACAAAGGACAGTTTAGTTTGATGACACATAGACGTACAAGATTCCATAATCACAGATAAAATTTCTGTTGGTGAATTGTACCAAAGCTGTGTAAAGTAACTTCAGTCAATCCACTTGATAAATATCACTATGATAGGATACCTTGCCCATCTGCACTGAGACTTCTTGCTAGCTTAATCTTCCTTTATCACCTGCAAAGTGCTCAGTAACACCACAGTTTTCTGGTACTGGTGCCATGCTGATCTGAAATAAAATGGCATTGCATCTTCTCCACTAACTACTCTGCCTAGAAGCTTTGTACTCTGCAGCAGAGAAGCAGGTGCTAACCTGCCCATAGGTACAAGCCTACCCATACAGCCAGGCTTTTTGGTTGGGTAAAGGTTAACTTTACCAGGCTATGCTGACGGACCAAGCATTATGCAATTTCATCTTCGCTCACAGAGTAGGAACAATAACCCACCTGAAGATGTGTTAGTTGCTGAAAGGATCTGGGATATCAGGAGCAGCGAGGTACTGTAAGATTAGCCCTGCATCAGCTTCTCAAATGAGTCTGGCTTATGAATGGCAAACATGAAGACAGTCAGCGACCTAAGACCCTATGAGCACAACCAGCCTCTAGGTCACATAGCTACCTCACTCAGTGAAGAGGGTCTTAACAGCAGAGATTCAAAGTCTGATTGCTGTTTTTCATGAGGTACTAGTGACATATAGTTACTTAAACTGATTTGAGGAACTCTGACATTTAACACAGAATACAATGCATGCTGGGCACACCTTGCAGCTTCTGGGAGAAATTTAATTCTAGAATGATGATTTTACTGGTGCGTGGGCAGAGAGTTAAGTCCTCTCAGTTCAGCGTTAGCCCCTGGTATCAAAACCTATTCCAATCAGCCATGATTTTGTAATCAGAAGTTGCATAAAAACATTTTCTTCATGCCTTACTACATGTATACGAGAATTCCTGGCGACACAGTCCATCTGATTCTACCATCACATTTCACATGCTGGATCACTCAATAGGCATAAACAGTTTACAGATTTAAGCAATTAGTGACTTTGTATTTTTTTTAACATGAGCCAGACAGTTCTTCCCTTTTCCACTTCCATTTTGTTCAATATTCAAAATTCAGGTTCTGATTGACCAAAGACAGAATCCTTCTGT